TGTACTTCCGATTTGATTTGAAACTGTCTCATTGCTATCTGTTTATCAATAAAATTTTGAAAAGACTATTGTGATTCTGGATATCCAACCAGTACAATAACAGAATGAGAACATGCAGAGGTTACATTTTCTTTTGAAAAATAATCCAAGTTCAAGATTCAACTGGTTAGAGAACTACTGGCCCCTCAGTCTCTAGTTATGAGAATAACTGCTTCAGTCTCAAGTGTGTTCCAACAGATCGTGATTGGATTGCATGATGGCCAGAGTCTTTTTTCCCAATAATTTCATTAGATTTTTCATGTTTGTTAAAATTTGTCTTATACATTTGCATACTCCCGTGTTTTGTGCCTATACATTTATGAGTGTTACATCTTCCTCCTGAATTTTTATCCTAACCTGTATATATTGGTCATCTTTATTTCATTTGAGCACTCTTGGTTTGAAGTTGAGACTGTCTGAGAACAGGATTACTACCCTTGCTTTATTCTGAGGTAATGGGGTGTGTAGTATTGTTTTCCATCCTTTGACTTTCAGCCTATGAATTTCTTTATGAGTTAAGTGTGTTTCTTGTATACAGCATATTGTTGGATTATTATTCCTAATCCACTGTGCCATCTACTTCTTTGAATTGGTGAGTTGAATCCATTTACATTGATGGTTATAACTGAGATGTATTGATTTATGATCAACATGTTATTTACTTATCATTTAATCCTTTTTATCCTGTGTTTGTTTGCCCTATTTAAAGGGATCCTTCTGTTCTTGTTCATGGAGTTCTGATCATTTTGGTCCTTCTCTAGAACATTTTTGAGTAGTCTGTGTAGGGTTGGCTTTGTCATCGTGAAATTCTTTAGTTGTTCTTTGTCATGGAAGTATTTCAGTTCTCCATCTAACTTGAAAGACAGTTTTGCAGGTTATAATAGTCTGGACTGTAATTCGTTTTCATAGCGGACTTGAAGTACTCTGCTCCATGCTCTTCTTGCCTTCATGGTTTGTGAGGAGAAGTCTGCCTTTATTCTGATGGGTTTTTCTTTAAATATGATCTGTTTCTTTTCTCTAGCAGCTTTCAGTATATTGTTCTTGTGCTGGATTTCTGGGATCTTGACTATTATATGTCTTGGTGTATTTTTAATTGAGTTGAAGTTATTTGGAGTTCCATATGCTTTGGTTACCTGAATGTCAGATTGTTCCTCCGTTTTTGGGAAGTTTTCGGCTATTAGTTTTGCCCAAATTCTTTCGTGTCATTTGTATTGACTCTTCCTTTCTCATTGATGCCTATTGGTCTCACATTGTTCATCTTTGCATCGTCTTGCAGGTGATGGATTATTTTTTCCTACATCCTCGTTGGTTTTAAGAGATCTTTTCTTACCTTTTTACTAGCTGTGATGGCATTGTCAAGATCTGAAAGTCTATCTTCACTTTCATTGAAACTGTTTTGCAAGTTTTTGATTGAGAGTTTAATTTCCTCTATATTTATTTGACTGTGCTTCATGCAATCTATTTCTGTCCTGTGTTGCTCATTCAAGGAATCCATCTTTTTTCTAATCTCTATATTTTTTTCATCAGTTTCTTCTTTAGAAGTAGTTATTGGACTTCCAGCAGCTCTCGCTACGGGAGGAATGGCAACGAGCTGCGTATCTCCACTAGGCTTCTGTGCACCTTGACCCGCGCGCCGCCAAGATGCCCAAGAGAAAGGTCAGCTCGGCCGAAGGGGCCGTGAAGGAGGAGCCCAAGAGGAGATCGCGGAGATTGTCGGCTAAACCTGTTCCAGCTAAAGTGGAAACGAAGCCAAAAAAGGCAGCAGGAAAGGATAAATCTTTGGACAAAAAAGTGCAAGCAAAAGGGAAAAGGGGATCCAAGGGAAAACAGGCTGAAGTGGCTAATCAAGAAACCAAGGAAGATTTACCTGCGGAAAATGGAGAAACTAAAAATGAGGAGAGTGCAGCTTCTGATGAAGCAGAAGAAAAAGAAGCCCAGTCTGATTAATCACACACCATGTCTTATCAGTGCTCCCTGTCTCCCTTGTACAATCCAGAGGAATATTTTTATCAACTATTTTGTAAATGCAAGTTTTTTAGTAGCTCCAGAAACATTTTTAAAAAGGAGGGAATCCCACCTCATCACATTTTTTAAGTGTAAATGATTTTTTTAGGGTGAAATCATTCTCTGGTTGTTTATTTTTGGGTACAACCAGAAATAGTGGGATATTGTATTATGGCAGGCTTTGATTGTCTTGGGTGGCAGCTTAACATTCCATAGGTGGGGGTTAGTTTTATATCCTGCAATACAAAGCATACTAAATGGCAATTTGGAATCACAGTCCTGCATTTAATATGTCTTGGATACTTTAAATGACTTCTATTCTCATGATTTTTGGTAGAGTTGTTTCCTAAAGAAAACTACATCCTAATTGTTGCCATGTCAGAATCGTGTGCACTCTGTAACATCTTTGGTAGTGGTAGTCCAGTTTGCCTCATTTTGTTAATGTGATGTGAAAGATCAAAAATTTGAATATGTAGTGTATGTGTTACAAAATTGTGAATTGGTGGGACTTACGTAACACTTTGTCAGCATTTGGAGATACTGGTACTTAATCCTCTTACAGAAAATTTGCCTCTAAATTTGAAGCTGGAAAGTCACTGGAACAACTGAAAAACAATATATGGCTTTTTTTGGTATGTGTGTTAAGAATTGTGTACAAAGTGAATCATGTGTACTGATCCTCAACACAACCAATAAAATCTCAAATATTGAAGATAAAAAAGTAGTTATTTATTCTTGTACTACAGAGAGTATTTCTGATGTGATTTCTTCCACACGTTTCTGCCTTTAATTCTTCTTTCAGATGCTATTAGTTCAGAGATTTCCTTTTTTATTTCAGATGTTATTTCTGATCTGAGTTCCTCTATATCTTTTTGTTGTTGTTTCTTTTCTTCACGTGCTATTGATTCAGACATTTCAGCTGTGTGATTCCCAATTTCTTCCGTTTAGTATCCTCTGCACTTATTCTGGGTGGCCTTGGTGTCTGAGATTGCAATTTGGTGTTTATGTCATTTTGTATAGCACTGTCCTCTGACCTTTCATGTAGAGCTTTGGTGCTGTTATATACTTAGCACCTACTGACACAGGTGCAGAGCTACAAAGTTTGAATTCTTCCAGTTGTGCCAGGCTTGGTTCTGGGTACTGTGCTCAGCTCCATCCTGGTGCAGCCCTTGGGAGTGAACCTGTTGTGCCCCTCTGGCAAGATGTTCTGCTTCTGGATTATTTGGGTGGTTATGGCCCCTAGTCTCTCTATAGGGACTTCAGCTGCAGAGTTTCACTCCAGACCTGTATGCCCGGACTGCGCTGGGTTTGGAGAGTATCAGTAGGTGCACGGAATCTCAGAAGTTCTTCCACACACTCACCAGTCTTGGGCTTGGGCTGGCTCTGGAGTGTGGAGGCGTCCTGAGAGCACATCAGAACGTCTCACACACATGGGGGCTTGGGCTGGATCCGGAGAGCTCCAGGAGGTGCAGGGGAGCATGGAAGCTCTCCCACACACTTGCCCGGGGGCCTGGTCTTGGGCTGGCTCTGGTGGGGTGGAGGGGTCCCAAGCCCAGGTTTATCTTTGACCAATGCCCATACATGATTTTTACAAGTTGTTAACATTCAAATGATTCTTTTGGGCTGTCAAGATAGCTCAGCAGTCTAAGCACCTGCCTGGCAAGCACAGGACCTGGGTTTGATCCCTGGAACTGCATGCTATGCCAGCCATGAAAATGGCATGGTGACACATGCTTATAATCCTAGGGCTAGGGAGGCTGAAACAGGATGATCATTATGAGTCCAAGCTGTATAGGGAAGCCCTGTACCAAATAAATAAGTAATCAAAAAATAACAAAATGATTATTTTTTCAGACTATTTAACAAATTTTATAAAGGAATAATTTTCAAAGTTTGTGATTTTACCATGTGTTTGCTGGCTTTGCTTTTACAGGTAATATTTTTTAATTTATTTGTATTCTGCTGCAAAAATATAGTTCTTTTTGTAAAATGTCTTGCAATAGGACTATATTCAAATAATAAATATCAACCGGGGATTGAACTCAGGCCCTTGCACTTCCCAGGCAAGCGTTTATTCCACTGAGCCATCTCCCCAGCCAAGTCAAAAACTCCTGTCTTTGCCAGTCTTATGGAAAACCCACTACAAATATGGATTACTGGAGTATATTGGAATATTTTACTGAATTCAGGCACCTACAATATTTAAATGACAATGAAATACTCTTCTCTGACAAAAGTAAACAAATAAGGGTATACAAATGAACGACCATTTTGTTTCTGTATGATCAATATAGTTAGGATAGATATACAGCTCCATTCTCTTGGATCATTGAATAGAGAGATTTGTCCATATAGTGTTCGTGGACAAGATATCATGTCTGCATCTTGTGCAACGAATAACCACTAAGACAACAATATGCAATGTATTAGTTATTGAAACTGTGCTAGTAATCACTTTTCAAACTGTCTCATTGCTATTTGTTTTTCAATAAAATTATTTAAAAAACAAGAACTAAATATCGATATATAATATTCTGAGTTCAAATAATACATTATTCATTAATTTCAAAAGAACATCATGAGAATGTCCATGCATTGAAGTGCTTGCACTTTTTCTGGCATAGATGTATAAATTGTAGACATAACTATTAGGCAAACATAATCTATATTTTTCCCCATATTTGTACTGTTTTTCTGTACTGTGTCAGCAAAATGCAGATGTCCTCACAATAAAATGATACTTTTGTTTTTTAAATTTTATTTTTAAAAAATATTCCATTTTTTTCGCCATAATTTTATTGAGAGACATATAGCAATGAGACAGTTTGAAATCAAATTGGTAGGACAGTTTCAATAATTAACACATTGCATACTCTCTTCCTAGTGGTTAATTACTGTACAAGATGCGGACATGATATCCTATTTACAAACACTATTAGACCAAATCCCTCTATTCATTAAGAGAATGTAACTATATATCTATCTTAACAATTTTGAATACACAGATACAAAATGGATATTCATCTCTATCCCCTTCTTGTTTAGTTCCGTCATTTGAATATTACAGGTGTGTTAACTCAGCAAAATATTCTAAAAGAGTCCAGTAGTCCATAATAGTATTGGGTCTTCTGCTTGACTTGCAGTGTCAGAAATTGTTGACCTGAGTCCCCTACAGCTCAACATAACAACATGAGTTTACTTCTTATACTTCTTTTTTACACTTTTATGCTGGATGGTTAAGATCAAGATAAAGCAAGACCTATGCAACAAGAGTTATAGCTCTTGGATCTGATAAGGTCAGTGAAATTCTCACAGGATTTATCCTGAGATCCTGTACCTCAGATTGTAGATCCTTTGTCAGTGTCAGCCATGTGGATGAGTCACAGCCATTGCTTGACCAATGTGCTCTCTGTGAAAGCCTGAGAGAATGTCTTCTTTCCATGTGACTCTCCTTAGGCACACCCTCCATCATTGATCACTTTCCTCTTTGGCCCCATAATCTCCTTCATCAGAAAATTTGGGACACTACTGAGTTACATGACGTTACAGTACAAGTTCTCATATGTCCTGAGTCTTTTCACTTTGTTGGTAATTTCTTTTGACGTGCAAAAACTTCTCAATAAGAGCAGGTCCTAGTTGGAAATAAGTCTTTTTGGGATAAGGGGGTGTTAAGGTCTCCTCTTAAGATTGTGGTATTGGGTATTAAATTTTTCATGTCCATTAAGATTTGCTTTATATAGTTGGGTGCTCCCATGTTTGGTGCATACATATTTATGAGTGTTGCCTCTTCCTCTTGAATTTTTCCCCTAACCAGTATATAGTGGCCTTCTTTATTTTGCTTGATCATGCTTGGTTTGATGCTGAGACTGTCTGAGAATAGGATTGCTACCCCTGCTTTTTTCTAAGGTGCAGGGGTGTGTAGTATTGCTCTCCATCCTTTGACTTTTGTCTTTATCAGTTCAATGTGTTTCTTGTATACAACATATTGTTGGATTTTGTTTCCTAATCCACTGTGCCAGTCTATTTCTCTTAATTGGTGAAGTGAGTCCATTTACATTGATGGTTATAATTGAGATGTATTGACCTTCGATTGACATGTTATTTATTTATTTATTTTTTCCCACCATCTCTATCTTTTTTTTTTTATTTCCTAAGGATTTTTTTTTTCCGTGGAAATGGGCATTGAACTCAGGCCATTGCGCTTGCCAGAGAAGCACTTATTCTACTGAGCCATTTCCCTGGCCTGACATGTTATTTACCTGTTGTCATTTACTCCTTTTTCTCCCGTGTTTAATTGTTTGCCCTGTTTAGTGGGTTGCTTATGATCTCATTCATGGAGTTCTGATCATTTTGTTCCCTCTCTAGAACATCTTTCAGTAGTCTGTGTAGGGTTGGTTTTGTCATCATGAAATTCTTTAGTTGTTCCTTGTCATGGAAGTATTTCAGTTCTCCATCAAACTTGAGAGTTTTGCAAGGTATAGTAGTCTGGGCTGGAATTTGTTTTCATAGAGGAGTTCAAGTACTCAGCTCCGTGCTCTTCTTGACTTTATGGTCTGTGAAGAGAAGTCCGTCGTTATTCTGATGGGTTTTTCCTTTGAAAGTGATCTGCTTGTTTTCTCTAGCAGGTTCAGTATTTGTTTTTGAGCTGAATGTCTGGGATCTTGACTATTATATGTCTCAGTGTGTTTTTAATTGGGTTGAGGTTACTTGGCATTCTGTATGCTTCGTTTACCTGAATGTCAGATTGTTTCCTCATATTTGGGAAGTTTTCTGCTATTGCTTCTGCCCATATTTTTTAATGTCATTTGTTTTGACTCCTTCTTTCTCAGTGATACCTATTAGTCTCACATTGTTCATCTTTGCATCATTTTGCAAGTGATGAATTATTTTTTTCCTGCATCCTAGTTGTTTTAAAGAGATCTTTTCTTACCTTTTCACTAGCT